GGTTTTAGGGGTTATGGTTTAGGGCTCTAAGGGGGTTTAGGGGTTCAGGGTGTCGGGGGTAGGGTTTTGGGTTTAGGGCTTTAGGGGTTTGGGTTTAGTGCTGTAGGGGCTTAGGGTTCAGGATTTACAGGTTTCAGGTGCCCCGCAACTCTCCGACGTGCAGGGGTCCCAAGTGTAGGGGGCTTTGGGGATAGCGTGGGACTTTGGGAGGTTTTGGAAATGAAGGGGCTCCATATCATAGATCCTTAAAGAGTCATGCTATGACACTCCGGGGCTGTTTGGGGTTTAGGGTTTCGGTTTTGGGAGTTATTTCTTGGGGCTTATCGGGCTGCTGCGGCTTAGGGTGTATAGAGTTTAGGGTTCAGGGTTTACTACCCTACTGGTCTTGCCGTGCTTGTTCGGGGATTGAAGCGGCAGGTGCCCTGTCAGGGTACAACATTTAATCATTCATGGCATCCCGCACTTTCAAGGTCAACAAACGAATCTATTGTCACCTTGGGAGGACCTGAACCGCAAAAACCCAGCATTGTCAAACGATTCGGTTTTGTTGCCTGGGCAGCCATAAGACTACATACTTTTTCACACTACCGCCACAGGAATACCCTCTGAACCTTCGCAGAAGTATACCCTAAACCCTAAACCCTAAAGTATTCCTATGTCAAACCTGGAAAAGCCAAGCAGCCCTCGGAAGCCCGAGGCCTACTTCCACCGTGCACTGGAGGCCGGGGCAAAGGGCCGGGAGACTTTAGCTGAGCATTTTGAGTTTTTCGGTTTATGGTTTGAGGTTTAAATTTGGGGTTTGGGGCTTTGGGCTTTGAGCTACTCCGACTTCGGATTTGGATGTTGGGTCCAAAAGCGGGCTGAATGCTGGTCAGCATGTCACCTTCTAGCCCATACAGAAGTCGAGGACCACATATCTCAAATCCCTCGTTTTTGTATGCCCCTAGATAAGGCGCTGGAGTTCGGGTGTTTGGGATTTCGGCTTTACTGTTCGCATTGGACCCGGGATGTTGGGTTCAGGGCTTCACAGTTCACTTTCATCTGAAACGGTGCTGAACTCCGACAAGGTGTCTCGTACGAGTTCAATGGCACAAAACTCCGTGCAATGTGAACGCTCAACCGCGCTTGAAACCAGAAGACGCCGCTAACTGACAAGTTTTGGACTCACGGCAACCCTTAAGCTGTAGGCCGCTAATCTTGAGAATCTTTATGCTATGCATGCCAGTAAAGTCCCAACACTCAAGCCCTAAACCCTAACCCCACCCCTGAGACCAAACGCCGTGAGCCACGTTTCAGAGACAGGTTTGTGCCGGCGGAAGGCTCTTCTTCGTCATCGTAGACAACGAGGAGCTAAATCTCGGTTGCCTGTAGGGTGTAATCTAGGGGCCTTAATACTGTTTTTGGGGTTCCTTATTATAAATATGTATGATATACCCTAAAACCCTATTCTAATTATTAAGGCCCCTACCTTAGGTTTAGATTCCTCACGGGCAGAGATATCAGTCGTGCCAGGTATGATACACCGTGATCGTATTCAGTGGCCCCCCCTCCTCGACCATGAGTTGTAATATATAGGGTCCTTATCATAATTATATTATAAAGGACACCAAAACCCTACTCTAATTATTATTAAGGCCCCAGCATTAGTACCCTCTATTTCGATACCGCGTTGTCCGGCTAGGCTTTTTATGGTTAGGCTCAAACCGACATCCCGAAAGCCTCTAAGCCCCCAAACCCTCATTCCGAAATCCCTAAACTTGGGCCCTAAACAGCAATAAGCCCAGATAACCCTCAACCCCCCCCCCCCNNCCTGGACCCTAAACCCTAAACCGTACAAGCGATTCCAACAAACCTTGCCGGAGGGCGCTTCGGCACCTCCTCGCTTCGACGCCCTCCTAAAATCTCTGGGTTGGGGTTTAATAAACCCTAACCCCTAAACCCTNNTTCGGGTTTAGGGTTTACCCATAGGCCCCATAGTAGTTCCGTTTTTGGGTTACCTAATAGGATCCTAAATGTAAGCCACAAAAAGGAACAACTATGGGGACTATGGGTAGGGTTGAGGGTTTAGGTTTAGGCTCTAGGCGTTGGGTTTCATCAGGGGCCTGTCAGACCTTTACCAGCCTTTTGTCGTGTGCGGTTCGTAAGGTGAGGAGACCTTGCATTCCTGAGGGTGGATCCTACCTGCCTGTTTTAGGGGTCGGAGAGATTAGTAGCAGTATCTCTTCATCTCATATGTAGTTATAACTACGATATCACCCCAAATGTAATGGCAGTATTTCTTCATCGCATACGTAGTTATACTACGAGATCACGCCAAAAGACACCGATCGAATTATGGAGCCCCCTACACTTCTGGCAGGAGACGGGCAAAGCCCTGCTGGAGAAGGGTCAGCTGAGGCACCGCGGATTCCACCAACATCCCTTAGTGCAGGGCCTCTCACTGCAAAATAGAGGCCGCAATAATTAGCCATTAGTGCTACTAAATCATACACTGAATTAGTTTAGGATTTAGGGTTCAGGGATTGGGGTAAAGAGCAAGTTGTGGGAACGCGCAAGTAGCCCTTTAGGGGACGGGAGCTGGGGGGGTGTTGGCACAGAAAGCTCACAGGCGCCGGGTGACCATCATCCCTCTGAACAAGATCCAGGACGAAAGATCTTCTTAGGCTTTTTATGGTTTCGGGTTTAGGGTTTGAAGTTTAGGGTTTAGGGTTTGCATGTCTTGTCTTTTTCCTGCTGGTTCCTGTTTTTTATGTCTATGCCATAATACACCCCAAACCCGATGCAACATACATGTATTAAGACGGCAAGACCTCTAAAGTAGACCCCGCCGTACGGACACTCGAAATTATTGAAGAGTACCTGAATCTGCTGGAATGGGAAGGAAAAGCCCGGGGGCGGGGGAGTTGCTTCGTCAAGTTTGCAATGGCAAACACCTCAGACCATCTCCGACCCCTACAATTAGAAAAGGGGTTGGGGGGGTATATCATACTATAATGATAATAAGGAGCCCCCAAAACCCCATTCTAATTATTCGGGCCCCTAAATTACCCAGAACTCCCAGCTTACATCCCTTACACTGACAACCCCGTAATACGACTCCCAGGAGCTCCCTGCAGTAACTAGTAACTAGCCTACACTATAGGGTTTAGGGTTCAGGGTTNNGGGTTTAGGGTTTAGGGTGTACCCAGCCTCCCCAATCCCCTGAACCCCTGACGCGCAAAGCCCCAAAGATCTTCGAGAACAACAGCTGACAGCTGATTCACAAAGGTGCCTGCGCTATCCTACGACTACGAGAATATGGGGTCTGAAAATTACTACGCACGCATCCTTTGACAGTTCCTTTAAGCGGTATTATATTGGACCCCAACCCCCCATTCTGATTATGAAGGCATCGATATGCACGAACAATGTGATGCTCAAGCTCGAAACCTGAGACTAAAGGGTGACTAAATCCTCAACAAGCGCTCCTAATTAGTCAGGATATTGAAGGTGACACCCTACATACAACCTGTATCAACAGTACCCTTGGGTCCTCGCAGCCTATACGGCCATCAAGAATCCTAGACCCTGAAACCTTGAACCCCCTGAACCGGTTTAGGGTCTTCGGGTGTGGGGGCTTTGGAAGTCAGGGTCTAGGGACCCCTACTTCACATGCCTCGCGCTGCAGAACAATTCGAGCCCCAAACTCTGAGTCTTACTGTACCTAGACCCCCCAACTACCCTCTACTATATCCCCCACATACCCACTATTAAGGACCATAAGGGCTCTATTAAAGGGCCATTGGGGGGTCCTTGTACACCCCCTATTCACATCCGATTTTTTTCTCTTTGCTTCTGCTCTCCGGCGCTTCCTGGTGCTCCTTCTTTCACTGGGTTTGCTCCTCCAGCACCACAGCCCCAGACCCCTACAGAACCATGGAATACCGCTACAAGACCCAACCAAGCAACCCTAAACCCTACAAAACCCTCCACCCCACAGAACCCTCAACCCCAAACCCTACGAAACCCTCAAACCCGAACCCTGCAAAGCCTTCATCCCTAAACCCTAAAAGCCCTCACCCAATCCTACAAATCTTAAACTGCCATAAACCCTAAACCTTCAACCTCTTCGTCCAGGACAACAGCATCTCTCCGCAAGTGGTTCGCCAGGCCCGAAGCATCCTTCCAGAAGGTGCGCCAAAGCCGGGATGTTTTAGGGTTTAGGGTTTTAGGGTTGAGGGTTCCTTTAAGGGTTCCTGTAGGGAGTCTTTTTAAGGCTTCCTTGAGGGCTTCATTCGGGTTTAGGGTTTAGGGGGGTTCCTGTACGGATTCTTTTTAAGGTGTCCTTTAAGGGGCTTCCAGAAGGCTTGCGTCAAGGGTTGTAGAAGGGTTCCCGTGTGGAGCGCATATAGGATGCTCAGGATTTACTTGATGTAGGTGTCTTGTTGACCAAAAGGATTGACATTTTACGGTTTTTCGGGTGTTGCATCGGTTTTATGGGTTTGCAGCGGGTTGTAGGGTTTTGAGGGGTGTGCAAAAAGGTCAGCTTTCAAAATCGAAGCTGTCAGGGTGTGCCTGTCTTTTGATGTGAGAACTTACGCTTGTCCGATGGTTTGGGACGTGTAGGACTTACGGAGTGCGGGTTTTCGTGCACAATATAGGGCCTTAATAATTAATAATTACCTATACTTTTTTGGGTGTTCCTTATTATAACTAAAGTATAATATCCCCCGAAAACCCTATTCTAGTTATTACGGCCCCTACATTAAGTTTAAGGCGTTGAAAGCTCTGAGAGTATCTTTTCAAAGCTTTTACGCTTCTCCTAGGAGCCTCAAGCCCCAAGCGCGTTGAGCCGGAAACTCACAGCAAGGTTGAGGGTTTAGGCTTTAGAGTTGAGGGTTCAGGGTTTAGGGTTGAGGGTTTAGGTTGAGGGGTTTAGGGTTGAGGGTTGAGGGTTCAGGTTTTAGGGTTTAGGTTTAGGGGTTTAGGGTTGAGGGTTTGGGGTTCTGACTCTGAGGTGCTTCCAACCCTTCTCCAAGCAATCCAGCGCGCGTTTCAGAACATACGGGGCCCTGTGACAGTCGTGGTAGCCATGAGCGCAGGTACCCCGAACAATGAGCCCGTAATTTCAAGAAATCTCCACATACAAGACTGACCAAACCCTCCAGAACCCTTCAGCACTCCCAAACAGCAAGCCCCATCCGTAAACTCGAAAGCTCGGCACTCAACGCCCCACAGCCCAAAACCCACGAACATCCTGCATGGCAAACGTCAGCAACACCCGAACCAAACCAGACACGAGACGCTAAGCCCCGCCAAGCTCTGACCCCGAACAATTGAAGCATAAGCCCTGAACCCAACAAACCTAAACCTATAAGGACCAAGCCTTAAGAAAACCCTTACAAACGAATTCATGTGAAACCCTTAGAATATAATCCCTATGACACCGCTCGAAAAGTCCTTTACTCTCGGTGTAATGCTTCGCTGAGCCTCCTCTTTCCGAATTCTTGCAGAGGGCCTGTGTAGGACCTTGTAATGCAACCCTAAACTCCCCTAACCCCTATACCCTCAACCCTAAACCGTAACGAGGACCCGAGCGGAAAGCCGCTTGCTAAAAGACACCAACAAGCACACGCCCTAAACCCTCAACCCGGCCTCCATGATGGTGCCTGGTTTGTGTGAAACCCGAAACCCTAAACCCTGAACGGTATGCGAGAGAAAATGCCCGACACACAGTTGGGGGTCTCAGAAAATAGGAGACCCGAATATAGTACCCTAGATAGTAGGATCCTTATTATGAGGACCCCAAAAAGGTACCCCTTATGTTCGGAAACTCCCATTTAAACAACAACAAATCAACGGCCTTCTGCAAAAGGCGCCGATGCCCAAGTGGCCATGGAGATCGTAGGCTTCGAGACGCCGGGGCGGAGAAGTCAGCTTTTAGGGTGTAGGGCTTAGGAATAAGGGTTTATAGAGTGTAGAAATTGAGGTTTATAGTGTTTCGGGTGTAGGGCTTAGGAACAAGGGTTTAGGCTGGTTTAGAAATTGAGGTCTGGGGTTAAGGTTTATAGGTTTTTGGGGTGTAGGGTTTAGGAATAAGGCTTTAGGGCTGAGAAACTAGGTTTTAGGCTTTAGGGTGTATAGGGTTTAGGAATAAGGGTTTAGGGTTTAGAAATAAGGTCTAGGGTTTAGGGTTTTGGGCCGGCTTACGGCTTGGGCTTTTTTTGTCCCCATCAGAGAAACATATAAGGCCATCCATCAGACCTGTAAGAAGAACACAGAAGAACCATACATGTTATTATGAGATATAGGGTCGTACGAAGAACGGGACTGTAGTAAATGTAGCAACAGCAACGATGATGATGATGGTGATGACAATGATGATGACAACTTCCATCATTTCCCATTATTGCTACTGTCTTCGGTGTCCTTATTATCAGTTGCAATTTTAGTACTAAGTGGTATTATCATCGCGACTAGTATTCTTTTCTAGCTTCCTCCTTTTTTCCTAGCACTGTTGTTGTTGTTGTTGTTGTT